GTAGCAATGACATCATTATATAATAGAAAACACTATGGCAGCAATAATACAATGATGAACAAAAAAAACAAAGATAGAAAATACAACAAAAACACTGTTTCAAATGGTTGTCTTTTAGCAATTTTTCACTGTTTAGCGTTGTTCTGGAACTGCTCCGCATACCCCTCACATCCGTAACCATAACAACCGTAACTATAACACATTAAGACTATATGTGATGAAAGTTGGTAGATATATTGTAATATCTTTCCTCTACAATTTGTAGCAATTTCATTTCAAAAAACCCAAATTTATTAAAATAAGAGCATTTGTATCTTTACTTTCCGGACACCCTGTATGATATCATCTTAGAAAGTTAATTTTGCAAAACATAATTTGAGTTGCATAGTGATATCCTTTATGAGTTTAAGACAAGATTAATCTTATGTCTGTCCATCCGTCTATCTGGATATTCCCTGAGAAGTGCGTTGAACATTGAAAAGTCACCAAGGAGGATTGGAAGCTAAACGTGAACGGAAAATATTAAAGCGGTGCAATTGTATGGGCGATTGTTCATACATATAGGTTGGCGTTTCGATTTTTATGCACGCTTAAACTCCCCATTCTTTAATCTCCAACGATGCGATATTGCTCTTAGTGCTTGTATATTTCTATGGCTGCAAGAAGAATGGCCGATATTCTTGATTTTTACCCCTATTTGGTAAAATATCGAGTTGCGTCCCTGGGACCCAATCCTCCTTGAAAAGTCACTGAACTTTTAAATAGTTTTGCTGGGACATTCTCCCATTCTCCCCATTTGATAAAATATTAAGCCTGCTTATGATTAAAACTCCCCATTGGATAACATAAGGCTAATTATTCTTCCACATTCTCGTTATGAACCGATATTGTAATGTTTTGAAGTCAAATGTTCTGTACCAACCATTCCATATTCCGTTTTTGCTACCTCTGCTCTAAAAAACATATTGATTTCCATATTGCTTTTGTGCTTAAATATAACAAAAAACTGACAAAAATATCCAAACACTGAGAATATCTATTTTTAAAACGTTTCACGTTTCATACTGATGGCAGATGGTATTTGGAAAAATGTATAGATGAATACAGTTGTATTGTATCATGAGAGATGAAATTCACATTATAAATCATTTTAAAACCGTTTTAATAGCGTTCCACATGTGAAGTCAATTAAAAAATTCTCCAGAGGGAAATCTGTGATTCTGAATATTGCTTTCATTTTGTCTGATTGATTTTCCTATTAATAAAACCTGGCAATTAAAATGTTTGTCCCTAGTAGCCTGCTTATGATTGAAACTCCCCATTGGATAACATGTTAAGCCTGCTTATGATTGAAACTCCCCATTGGATAACATGTTAAGCCTGCTTATGATTGAAACTCCCCATTGGATAACATGTTAAGCCTGCTTATGATTGAAACTCCCCATCGGATAACATGTTAAGCCTGCTTATGATTGAAACTCCCCATTGGATAACATGTTAAGCCTGCTTATGATTGAAACTCCCCATTGGATAACATGTTAAGCCTGCTTATGATTGAAACTCCCCATTGGATAACATGTTAAGCCTGCTTATGATTGAAACTCCCCATTGGATAACATGTCAAGCCTACTTATGATTGAAACTCCCCATTGGATAACATGTTAAGCCTGCTTATGATTGAAACTCCCCATTAGATAACATGTCAAGGCCTGCTTATGATTGAAACTCCCCATTGGATAACATGTCAAGCCTGCTTATGATTGAAACTCCCCATTGGCTAATATGTTTAGCCTGCTTATGATTGAGACTCACCATTGGATAACATGTCAAGCCTGCTTATGATTGAAACTCCCCATTGGATAACATGTCAAGCCTGTTTATCATTGAAACTCCCCATTAGATACCATTTTAAGCCTGCTTATGACTGAATCGTACATAATTTGTTCTTCAATTACAATACAGGTCAGAAAATGGTTTTGTAAAAATTGCCAAACATAAAATTGCCTCATCACGTGGTCCAAAACATAAAATGGCCTCATCACGTGGTCCAAAACATAAAATGGCCTCATCACGTGGTCCAAAAGTAACAAGTTTCCAAACATCCGGAGAGGAGGTTTTTTCAGCTGGTACCAGCAGTATGCATTTTGGATTATTGAATTAAATCGTACAGATATTTGAGTAAATACACGAGAATACTGAAATATACTGTACAAAAATAATAATGCAGGTGATTATCTCATGTTTATCAATTTATTAAAATCTTAGTCCAAATATACCAGTATACGAGTACTACTGTACATTATATTTGGTCAAACAAACTATTGTGTAGTTTTCAGTGTCATACTAGTACGAGGGGTGATCCAAAAGTCTTGGACGCCCTGCTCTAATTTTCTTGGTTTTTGATATAGTTACTTTAAATTTTCCAATAATAAAGACCAACGACCTAACTACTTTGTATATTAATTTCATGGAGAAATTATATATTTTATGTAGTTTTCTAGATAGTTTTTAATATAGGGACCTTGCCACCCGGGACGGTATTCACACATGGCAACTTTCAGCCTTAAATGTTGCCGCCATTTCACTTGCTTCGCAAGTCTTGACCGCTATCTTTCTTTGAATTTTGAATGTTAAACCATATTAGTTTACTTCCTTTGTTACAAGGCAACCAATTAATTGTGTTTTAATTATAATGTCACTCGTGACAGTGACCGTATATGTCAAATTCTAAGAAAATGACATCAAACAAGCAACCCTCATTCTGGTATCATTTTCGCTGCAAGATGGCTGCTGAAATGCAGAACATGAAAGAAATCAAAGTGAAAAAAACAAAAAATACTTCAAGATATTCTCCCTACTTTTGACCATGTGTACCTACCATATGCATGATACATTCTAGATATGACTCCGTGTGATGTTCTTCCTTTTCTCCAAGTTGAAAGGAGGGTTGAAGGTAAATGTTTTTTTACTCAATGGATGAGGTTTAGAGTGGCACTCCAGTAGCATTTGTATCACATAAGAAATGGCGGTTTCATAAATGTCTTCCATTCATTGGTAGAGCGGTTCAAATTCGTGGAAAATGTGTTGAAAAGTAGGTCTTAATATGTGAAGATGATTCTCTCATATCATATCATGAATGGTGTTAGGTTGTACACCTGCACCTAAAGTGTTTTCCAGATTATAACAGTTGTGACGTGATTTACTATATTTAAACACCGTTCCGGGTGGCAGGGACCAGGTGTAAAAGAAATTATGGTCCCCTGGGGATTATGGTCCCCTTTCTTAAAGGCCCTTACTGGCCCTGATTGTGGATACGATGATAAGGGAAAGAGTTGTATTTAGGTCACCATATAAATCAATGGAAAGTAGGACCAAAATTTGATAGGACCACCTACCCTTTTACACCTGTATGAAAAGTAGCTAAAATATAATATTCTCTGTTGAAACTTATACACAAAGTTGTTAAAATGTTGATCTTTATTATCTGAAAGTTTCATGTAATCATATTAGAAAATAGCAAAGTTAGAGCGGGGCGTCCAAGACTTTTGGATCACCCCTCGTAATTAGGTCAGGTAGAACAAGATGAATATGCCAAATTAAACAAGTTTATTATGTCAGGTGAAACAGATGACTATGTCAAGTGAAACAAGATAATTATGTTAAGTGAAACAGGATACAGGTCAAGCTAAATAATTTCAGTATCCCAGGTGAAACAAGATGTCAAGTGAAACAAGATAATTTGGCCAGGGGAAACAAGAGGTCAGGTGAAACAAGGCATAAGGGTAGTTCGTACAAATGTCATAAAATTGAGAAAGTACTATTTCAACATCATCCTGGAAATGTGTTGACAGAATTCACAGATTCAGAGAGAATTCCCCACGTTCAAACTTGCCATCGAGTGCGTGGTAGACTAGGCAGGTCACTCGATCGAGCTATGTAAAATAGTTGTGTCAGTTTTTCTTTCATTTCTTATATATAATATCATTTGATAGAATAGAAACCATTTGGATTAATTTCACTTTAATATTAGCAAAAGGTTCATCAGTAGACACTGGTGATCCACTCGATTACGCTGGTTACCAAAACGAACCGTTTTGGTAACAAAATGTCGGAACGACGAAGGTATGATTTTTCTTTTTTCCTTATTTCACGCGTTGTAGGCAGAATCCTCACGACGTTTTTTCTCACAAACGTATATCAGTATCATATGTTATAGAAAATGTACATGTTTGCAAAAAATAGCTCAGAAGACAACAGAATCGTCGATTTAATTCGTCACTTAAGTTACATAAACGGTTTGGGTTAAAAGTGCAGATCTTAACCATTTTTCGAAAAACCGTTTATGTAACTTGAGTAATTAAATTGATGATTCTGTTGTCTTCTGAACTATTTGTTCGCAAATATGTACATTTTCTTAAGCATATGATACTAATACACGTTTGTGTTAAAAATGTGGGAATTCTGAAAAAAGAAAAATCGTACCTTCGATGCTCCAACATTTTGTTACCAAAACGGACCGTTTTGGTAACTAGCGTAATCAAGTGGATCACCATTGAGTAGAGTTAGTCGCAACTATTCATAAATTAAAAATAAATTTTGAGCGAGAAAAGTGAAAAATTTGTCGAAGCCGAACTTTCTGTTATCCGCTATTTTGAATGTGATTTACAGTTACAAAAAATGTCTAGTAATTATGGCAGCTACTCACCTCTTCTGGACAATAACCAAAATGGCGGCATTGACGTAAAATATTTTATATACAAGATGTATGAGCAACAGTGTAGACCTTTTGTTGGCTCTGTTTTTAGTTTCCTATAGAATGGGTTACATTTTAACGGCAAGATTGGGGGGGGGGCTGACGTGTCTCCTTCTTGTAACATTATTTGCCTACCTTTTCTACATGCTCTTACAGTGAGATGGTCCGATTGTTTTGAAATCAAGTATATTCCTTATATACGATCCTAAATATTAAACAGGACAAAATAGTGTTATATTTAATAAATGTGCATATCATTGCTTTTTTAACAAACACAAACTTGAAACACGAACATATTTACATAAGTAAAGATTTAACTTATCATCCTATCTCTTACCCAGAGATAGGAAATTATTAAAACATACTAATTGCAGACCATCTAGATATTCTAGGATACATAGCGATATCATCTGCTCTGTAAATATATACCCACAGGAGGTCTTGTAAATATGATAACGCAGTAAAATCGTCAATTTGCAAGTCCATGTTATGGGGACTGATTCCTTCAAATAGATGTTTGATCCGGATCGGTGCTCGGGCTAGTCTTTAACTGGCAATGTCTGAATTACAAAAAAAAGTTTATATATTAGGTCAGATTTATTTCATGAAATTGTCTGAGAATTGCCTGCCAATAATTGATCGTATTGTCCGGTACAGGCGTACATTCATCCTTATTCTTCCAACATTCCGAAGGCAGGTTTCGAATTATAATAAGGCCTAAAATGGTACATATTACAATCACCGCAACATACAAGCCACCAATAAACCGTCCGCAAATCTTGGCAGCGTTCTTGTACGTGCGAATACTGACTGGTGCATCGTCAATTACATCATCTACAACGTTGTTGTTGTCATTGATTCCTTGTGTTGAAGTAATTTGCGCGTTCCCACCAATTTTGAGCGAAGAAGGCCCTGGATCACAATCATTCATATTAATATCTTCTGGTAATCTAGCCGGAATGCGAATAGGATACGAACTCGTATTGCAGTTTCTTGACTTTGGTCTGCTTGAAGAGGGTATAGAGCGGAAGTTAGGCGATGATGGATTAGACATAGCTCTCGTCGTTTTTTGTAACTCTTTGGGGCTCTCTAAAGTGCGTGGATCTGTACAAACAATGTACCGTATCCAATCAAATATAAATCCCTCTATACAACAGGGCAATTTTTTCTCATGGTCACCAAGGTAATGCCAGATCAATAATATAACACATAGCAGGACGGAGAACGCCGATAACATAAGAAGATATATGAGAACATAGCCAAAAATGGGCACACTACTAGAATTCTCAGGCATCTTACTAGCAGCATAAAATAAATAAACTGTAAACGTTAGTAGAAGGGTTATAGCTAATTGTATAGTTTCACCGGATTCGCCTGGCATGAAGAAAACGAGAGGGGTCAGGCTAGCAATAAGGATCGTTGGCCATATCAAGTGAACGCTATACGACAAGGACTGACGCTCCAAAAATAGCGTGAACACCACGTAACTGTAGCCATCACTCTCTGCTTTATTGCGGAGAATATGCGATTTGTTCCAAGTTCCAATCAAAGCCCACAGCGTACTCAACTCAAAATTGTCAACGGACAATCCGTCATTAACGAATAGTAGTTCTTCAGCGTTCCAGTTCCAACTTCCGATATTGATGTCGCAAGTTTGGTCATCGTAAGGATATAACGTGAGGTTAAGAGTGCAGCTTGTGGCTAGATGCATCACGCGGCTGATAGAAACGGTCCCGTTTGATGAAACTTTGGCCTTGTGCTCAGATATGTCTATGTGAGTGAACCTGTACCTGAAAAGGAGAAAATAAAGGTTATGTTATGGTAAACTACATGATTCGATTACCGATGCAACTTGATTATAAACGCATGTATGAGCAAAGAACAATGCCAAACTAGAGAATGCAATAATATGACAAAATGGAACCAATTTGTTACAGGCATCCATCACCAACGCCAAAAGCCGGTCAGAAAATTGAAGGCCCCACACAGAGTTTGGCGCCATATCTTGGTGATGCAAAAATACAGACTTGTTTGTAGAACTGGTAAAATACCAAAAATATAGCACTATTCCTCTAGCGATACATTTCACTTTTTTATAAGTCCATAGTTGAGGTTGTAAAACAGTGGCAATATGACAACATTTCATTTATGATACGTTCAATAAGTAGTTGGATATCATTAGAAATTTAGAGTGTATACTGATCGTTGTGTCTTACAAACAATGGGGGTGAATTGAAGGTAACGGGTATTGTCCATTATAAATACAAAGATATGTTATTACCCATTCATAATCTCAAGTTCAGGCATCCAAAGCATGTTTAGAGGAAGGTGAATGACGTCTAAGTTTCCATAGTTTGTCTTGTTCCAACTTAGCCGATAGTCATCCCATTCCTGGAATTACAGACGAGCCACGAAGATGGCCGAATATGCTTGTACCACTGCCGAAGATTACCGAAGATGCGTCAAGTCACTTGATTAGTTCCTTGAAGCATTTCGGCAATAATATTTCTCAAACTCTTTAATATATTTCATACATACATCAAAGTAAGCATCAGCATTATGTCTTTATACATGTACCAAACAGTAAGAGTAAGTTGTAACGTTGATGGCATTTTTATTCAAAACGGTTTTAGTGAGGTATTCTAATTTTTCGTTTTTTTGGTTCAATGAAAATAAAATTCCCGACGCACCATTCCATTGGGAATTTTCTGGCACTTTTGATCTCAACAATTCTTATCTTTGATTTTTATCTTTAGCGTGAAAACCAACTCTATCAGGACACGGGGACATTGGAAGGAGGCCAAAACAGCTTTGTATCATAGCTGAAATTGCAGGAACAAAACCTTTATTACCTAAATTGAATAGTTCCCAGGATTTTGTCCTTTCATATACCTATTTGTCATATTCAATTGCTAACTCATATGAATCGTTTATTGTTACAGGGGCACCATACACATTCCAGTGGTGTCTCGCTCCCTTCATCATCTTTGTATTGTTGTATGCATATATATTTAATAAATTGAAATTGAAATTAAGATTACTAAATATTTCAACTAGTTTGGATTTCTAGTTAGTTAATAAGTTCAACGTCCAACCTACAAACGCACGGGTCCAGACATCATTCACAATGTTCCCTCTTTTTTCTTGATGTCTGGATCATTGAGTTGGAGTATGATCAAAGTAAAGCTTCCAGTTTTCTATTTACTACAAAATTTAACTGTGGAGAACCCACGACTTTGTGTGACGTCATCAAAAAATGTGTAGGAGAGCACAAAACAAAGTATTACTTTTCTGTATACTTACAACTTTGAGTCGAACAGTTGTTGTCAACTTTTCATCTTTAGCAACCTAAAAGATATTAAAATAAGTAGTGTATTTTTGCAGATCAAAATGTACTCCACTTTATACGTCCATTTAACTTGGTACAACAATCAAGGTTTCGTCGATATATTATGCAGCCTAGTAGGGTTTCGAAAAATACCAAATTTTGAAATATGTTTATTTGCAATTTTCATTTCACGTTAAACTATTTTATAAAAAATCAAACGATTCTGACTTTGTCTAAAGATAGTCCTTTAGGTTTTAAGTCATCTGAGCCGATAACCTATCAAAATCCCAATACTCGTCTACTGGAATTCTTGTTTCTATGAAGATGAGTTATCAAAGCACATCAATGACATCTATGTTAGTCTTACCATATCGTTTATCTTCAGAAGCGACAACGAGACGTTGATGCGTGTTTCACCAGTGCTGTTCTGACTGATTGGTCTAACGTATCGCATTTCGCCGTTTGCCTGTTTGAAGTTTCGAAACAATCTTGCCTCCACAGAATCTATAATAAAGGAAAAATGGAAGGCAACATGCCAGTCTTACTAGAAAACATTGCTTAATCTGTTCACGTAAGGTAGTTCCGCAATTTGGTCATTTCTTTTGAGGACATGTTAGACTTTATCCTCTAGTCTGAAATTTATTTGAAATTTGGAATGAAAATATTTTCAGACAACATATGTAATGATTTGGGATTGAAAAATATTTGTTAACTAAGGAAGTGCCATTCAAAATGGTCGATGATGTAATTTAATTTGCATATTTGTTACATCCCCTAGCTTTATTTCCATTTGACAATATTACTTTTTATAGCATTTAAGTACCTTACTACTTAATTGAATTGTTTTAAGGACAGGGTGCATGTTGGGAAATTTTCTGCATTCCTCAACTGAGTCACATGTTATTTTTCAAAGAAGAATAACTCCATCCTCACATTGTCTACATCTTCCAGGTTTGCACAAAGAGTGCACACATGTGCCTAGAAAAGCCTTGTGAGAAGATTTGTTTTGTAAAATGTATAAAAAACGAAAAAATTCAGTGAAAAAAAATTCTGAAAATTTTCTGATTTTTTTCACTGAATATTCTTGTTTTTATACACTTTATCAAAACATTCTTCTCACAAGTCTTTTCTAGGTACATAAGAGCACTCTTTGTGCAAAACTGGAAGATATAGACAATATGGGGAAGGAGTGATTCTTGTTTGAAAAATAACATGTGACTCAATTGAGGAATGCAGAAAATTTCCCATCATGCACCCTGACCTAAATGTTTATTTTTGGAAAGTGAAAGTTCCTAAAATTGATAATTTTGTGCAAAGAAATTCTTGTTTTTTCACACAGGAGGGACATTATGATCAATAGACCGAATTTTTAAGATATTCGGACTATTGGATATAGACTAAGGCATTACTACTTTACGTTTATGTTCTCCCAGACTCTCAAAGAAAGTCCAATAATTCCCTTACCATATGTCCTTCTAGACTCTCCATCTCCAAGATGCAGCCCGAGAGTATTATATGGGCCAATACCATTTGATAAGCCAAGCAGATTCCCATTGGTCAAATCTAGACTTTGTGGAATATCAGCAGAAACGACAGAGTTCTGGCTAGAATTGGTCAAAATTGATGACCTTTGGCCCTGTATTAAGGCGGTTCTGGCGTTAATGGCTGTGGCGTCGACAACATGAGACGACGGCATCACCAACAAAATCACCAACAACAATCGTAAAGTCCGCTCCATAATATATCTAACCGTGGGTCACACTTGCCTTATCAATCATCATCGCTCTCGTAACGTCAATACAACCTGAGTATAGTACAATATGACCTTACTCAACTCACCTTTACGGTCGAGTGAAGCTCTTGTCTTCCGAGAATATCAGGTCGGCCCAAGTTGTAGGTTTTCTCAATATACCCGGTCTTGTGTTATTTATTAGCTTGCATTTCCAGGTATTGACTAATTAACCTTTCAAGATTACAAGGTTAGTTTGATACACTCTACCATACCATGTGACCACGTTTAAAAGGGATACAGGCTACCACAGTGAAGTTGATACACTCTACTATACCATGCGACCACGTTTAAAAGGGATACAGGCTACCACAGTGAAGTTGCAAATGGACCGAGTATTCTTTATCTTTGTTTATACCGGAGTAAAAGAGTAGGAGGTCCTATCAAATTATGGTCCTACTTTCCTTTAATTTATATGGTGACCTAAATACAACTCTTTCCCTTATTATCGTATCCACAATCAGGGCCAGTAAGGGCCTTTAAGGAAGGGGACCATAATCCCGAGGGGACCATAATTTCTTTTACACAGGTGTAAAAGGGTAGGTGGTCATATTCATTTATGGTCCTACTTTCCTTTGATTTATATGGTGACCTAAATACAACTCTTTCCCTTATTATCGTATCCACAATCAGGGCCAGTAAGGGCCTTTAAGGAAGGGGACCATAATCCCCAGGGGATCATAATTTCTTTTACACCGGTATGTCTTTCCTGGTAGCAATACAATGCAAACTGCTCGGTGAATCTACACAATGTATAGTAGAAGACTTGGAATTGTGTAAAACCTAGTTACCTTCAGAAATATGGAAAGAAACAAAATAGTTTTCGATTTGCAACTTCATTGTAGCTTGTATTTATTGTAAGGATACTGCCTACAGTATGGGATAGGGTGGGGTGTAATATCAGCCTTTATTGCGACTGTGTTTTGGGTTTTCAACTTGCAATAAAAGTGTAGCAGGGTATAAAAATCTGATTCAGGCTTTTGTTATTAAAAAGGATAGAAATTCAAAAGTCCATTTTGTATCGGAGGGAGATATACAGGTAGGGATTACTCTAAATGAGTACTCATGAGCATGGATTGGCACAGATCATGATATGATTACTCAATTAGTACAGATACGAGTACTCAAACATCAAACAGCAATTCGAACATGACTGTATTCATGCCTTCTATAAACTGTGAACAAAGTCAATGCTTCAGCTAGGTTATATTCGAGATCAAATCCCCGGCTCTGTACTTTAGTGTTTCGCTCAGTGCACTAATTGGTCAGTGAAAGAAATTAGCAAATGATTACTCCGTTATATGGATATCCGCCGTGATTTGTTTGGTTTCTTGGCAATATAGAATTAATTTCAGTAATTATAAATGTAGTAGATATGCGTGAAACCATAAAATAGGCCGAAATGTCAATACTTAAGTCGGGGTCAGGAGGTAAGTGAATAAATTGGAACAGCCAAACGCTCAACCGGAAGTAGAAATGAAAAAAGTGGTAACAACGAAATTGACGATTTTGCAATATTCTGGTGAGTTCTCATGTTCGAATCGTAATATAGACCTCAGAGCAGTCTATATTTCTTAAATAGAAAATGTTAACATACATATCCTCGGAGTTCAAACATCATAATCAATCAAGGCTATACAATTTGTTGTTACGCACTTTTACATTGTAAATCACTTGCAAATGAACTCATATTTTCTATCATGTCGACTAAAAGATTCGAAATCACTAAAATAACATATTTTCAATGAAACGTTTTGCAAGGGTCAATTTGGCAAACAATCAATTATAATCTGTTGAGTGAACTTGTTACCTTGGCAACCACATAAGGAATGACCTTGGATGGGTTATAGGAATTTCATGCATAGTGCATTATGTGAAATACTGTGTTCGGATTGCCTGAAATTGGGCACATCACCAAACTAGTTTTCAATACGTTCTCAAAAACGGGCTTCAACTGTGTACGAACGGACTGGACGTACTTAGAACCGTTTGGGGTCTATTTACAAACTTCATCGAACGTACTCGAACGGGTAGGTCCTCTAGAACTTAGAACATGCTCAAAATGTTCGATACGTTCTACAATTAGAACGAGAGACAACGTACTAACGACGAGCTGGACGTACTACGGACGGAACCATCGTACTTCAATCCTACTAGGGACGTTTTAACAACGAGTTGAACTGTCTTAGAACGTATTGAGAACGAGGTAGAACTAATTGCTAACGGGTTTAAACTGATTAAGAACGTATTTAAGACTGCTTATGAACTAGCTTATTAACCATACGAATGAAATATTTGTTTTATTATGTCACAGTATGTTGATTCCTTGGAGTACATTTGACATTATACTGGCTCTGTAGTGATCCTTGTTAAAGGTAATCAAAAACAAAGTGAAATCTCCTGAACCCTATTCATGCACATGCACACACGTTACTCATTTTAAAGCCGATTTCAAGACCTATAATTTTAAACTTGTATTTAGATATACACTTTTTAAAAAGTGGCACTCTTGCACATTTTATCAGACTTTAAAACGAGTATTAAAAAGAATAAAAACACAGGCATATTAATAATATTCATATGACTTCCCGATTTCATGTAAAAGTTAACTTAAAATATTCAATAATTAAGAAATATAGACCGAACGGCAGGGGCTATATTGTCGAATACACCCCGCATGGCTAGGCACAAACGTTTTCTGTACGAAAGAATTTTTGCCTGGCCCTATGGGGTGTATTCGACGATATTACCCCTGCTCTGAGGTCTATATTACGATTCGAACATGAAAACTCACAAAAATGTTTCGAATAATCATAATGTTCCGCCATTACTACGACCCATTGTTATGACGTCACACATTACACGTATTACAGGGGTATTCTTCGCGAATATCCCCCTGGTGAAATGGTGACTTTGTTTACAGTTTATAGAAGGCGTGAATACAGTCATATTCGAATATGAAGTAGATTGCTAATTAAGATTAAATGACACCATCCAGTGAAGTCAAATATGAAAGACAATTAAGAAATGCTATGGTGATATATATAAGGTCAGATGACCATGAATAGAGAACTGTGATTTGTGAAATAAGGTCATATGACCATGAATAGAGAACTGTTCTTGGTGAAATAAGGTCCGACTAGATCATGACAAGAAAACTGTGATTGGTGAAATAAGGTCACATGACCACGAATAGAGAACTGTTATTGGTAAAATAAGGTCATATGACAATGAATATTGAAACTGATGAAGTTAGTTTCGTAGTTATTCACATAAAGTTTTAAAAAATAATTCCATAAATGCAGTGTACAGTTTCTCATTATAATGCATACCATCTTTATACCACTCTGTTTTATTTTTACTCAAGTCAAATATTCCGTAAAAAGGATAAAAAAGACTTGGATTTGACTTATAGTATTTGGATATCACTTGTAAAGCCCAACGATTATATTCCTCGTATTTTTCATGTTTTCTATTCCATTTTTTCGAGACATATGTCGACTCTATCCAGTAAACTCTCGTATCATTGTGAACTACTTGCTGTAATAGCTCAAGGAACCATGTTAGGTCCCGTTTAAGATCGGAGTAAACTCGCCTTTCTGGTTCATGGTGATTCCCAATGATTACAATAAGGGTTGGGTAGTTTGGCTGTGTGTAGAGATATTCATTGAAAATGAACTGTTGCGTCGTCATTGATTCACCACAATAACTGCCATATTTGGAAGAATTAAACGGGTATTTATTTGCATTTTTACATTGTGTTGACCTTCTCTGGGTTATCATTTCATTGTCCATGTAATACTCCATTGCTAAGTATTCAATGTCGAGCTTATGTGTAAACGCCTGTACAGTTGCATTATGGGATACTCCACTCGCATTATGGGAAACTTCAGTTGTATAATGGGAATTAATTGGTTGCTTGGTGACACATTGGTATAGAAATGAAGTACAAGTTATACAATCCCTTTTATGGAATTTTGTGTCTTTCACCTCTTTAAAGTATTCTTCTGTCGGATCACTATTCCCATCAATTTCCTTTTTCACTACATTACATTTGTATTCCTTTTGAAGTAATCTCAATGCCGCATATCCCCATCGTCGCCCATTAGAGTCTCCCAATATCAACATTTTTCTTATTTTTAAGTCTGGAAGACATTTTGGAAGAAATGATTTGCCATTTGAGAACTCACATTTGCTTGGTTTCCACGTATCATTTACCCATGATCCTTCAGTGTACGACACATTGTTTTTCAACAGAACCTTCAGCAGAAACTCCTTGCTGCATTTTTCTACTAAATGTTTTGAATATATCTGTTTTATAGTAAAGTTGTTCATATGTGAATATTCAAAAGAGCTTCCAAAGTTAAAATAGGTACCTGTATATGTTAAAACAGTTAAAACCATAATACAAGTGGCAATGATAATCTTCCAATTCATAATGCTGTCCAAGCTGACGTACGGTGCTTTATTGAGTATTGTCAAACAAACAATAAGACAGATGTAGATAAATTGTTCTGCCAACTCTTCTCAGCCATTGATACATTATATGGAATCCAAATAGGAGGTACTTTAATAAATCATTAACTATATTGTAACCGGATCACTGGTACTCTACTCTACTCGAAACGGACGGATCGTTTCGGTAACAAAATGTCGGAACCTCGAAGGAACGATTTTTCTTTTTTCACGCGTTTGTGATAACAATATCGTAGGAATTCTGCCTATAGTTGGTGTCAGTAGGAGGCAAAAAGAAGCTATATCTGAGACAAATTTCAATAATTGGTGCCCCAACAAAACAACCTAAAATATGAACGTATATGTAGAAATAATCTAATTTCAAAACCGAATATACACGTCGCACGAAACTGGGGACAATTAGAGTAACATTATGGCGTCAAAATACCAAAACAATACAATGGGCAGTATAGGGCGCAATCAGCATTATAACGTCAAAAACGACAAGCGTTACATTTTGTCAAGTTTAGTCAACATAAAAATAAGATGCTTTATTCTTATTCAATCCTGGTAAAATTAACAGAGTAACAAGATCTCGAGGACAATATTTCTAAAATGTTTTTGATTTTTGAAAAACGGTCAGGAAGTCCACTCGGGGCGTTAGTAAAAATTGATGTGTATGGGATTTGTGGTAAAAAATCGATGCGTTACATTTTTTCAAGTCTCTAAAAGCAACTCTTATTCTCTTATTATTTGAAAAATAAAGAAATCGGTTATTGTTTTGTAAATTTCGCCATGACAATATTGTGCAGTTAAATTTTTTTTGAAATCAGACCTAAATTAGAAGGTTAAATAAAGGTAAACTTATTGCTTGTCTCCTTCGCCTTCAAAACCTTACACAATTTTGAAAATCTTAAAAGCGTTCATATAAGACGATTTGAACTGTAGCCGCTAGGCAATTGTGACGTCATAAAAGCACATGTTTCAATGAATAAAATGTGAAATTTTAGTAAAATTCTGATCAGTATTACAAAAGTTATCCCGATTTCAACGAACCGTGCAAGCGTGAAATGTTACGTCTTACAGCGTATTTGACGATGTCGGAGTACATTTAACTTCAAAATTATGGTAGATCCTATCACACTTTCCATGGAAAAATAATTTCAGTGAAATGCGAATAAAAAATACTTCAAAATGATATATAATGCACATAGTTAGCTTTTTAAATAAGGCAGATATTAACGCTTAAAGCTGAGATTACCCCGTATTTCCCGAATTGTCCCCAGGTCCGTGCACGTCATAATAGTATTTTCATGGTAAATAGATAATTCCGATTAATTTCAAAGCCACATTAACTATCAATTAAAAGGTGTCATTTCTTTCAAATAAAAGAACTAAACAGGCCTTCAAATTGCCAAACGACTATATACATGTGTATTACATGCGAATCTCTGGTCAACAATTCCTGACATTTCATTAATTTTTAAAAATTAGATGTTTTGACGTATATATGTATCTTTTAGAATCAATATTTTTCGGTGAAGTTTATTCTCAAAAGACTTGTGTCAAAATGAAAGTGATTAAATGATCAATATTTTATCATGAATTGTGTTTTTAAAATTTAAATCTCAAATAAAATAAGATAAGTGTCGGTATGAAATGGATTACACATTTTTCTAAAATCAAAAAATGATCATGATAAATGTAGGAAAGGTTTATTCTTTTATGATCAACTTTAATCATGCCGAGTTTTATTTCACATGGGCAAACCGATGACAAAAACAAATGCCAACTTGACATTAAAAGTAATCTCGAAACATATGGTTTCACTTAAAGATAATATACTGCTCTGCTTGTCCTCTTACAGCCCTCTCAAACCCTTAATTTATATGTCGCTATAAGGAAACTAGGCTGAACTAATCAGAATGAATTTAAAATGCTAATTTCAATGTTGTTATTTTCATATCAAATATGTTTATATTATTGAAATAAGTCAGCCTTGGCCATGAACTAAAGTTGAGATGGTATTTTAATGTGCGGCTTTTATGGCATTTTGGGCGTTTTATTGTATTGTGATCATCTGTTTGCAATGAATTGTAATTTTGTGAGTCTATAACGCACTGGTGGATCCAGAAACTCACAAGGGGGGCACATTTTAAGTTAGGAAAACACAGCAAAAAATGTGAATCAAACCACTGAATCCTGGAGCGAGGATTCATACAGGATTCATATGCACATATGAATCCTGTATGAATCCTGCCTCTAGGATTCATACAGGATTCGCTGTTTAAATAGTTTACAAATGAATCCTGCCTTCAGGAATCATACAGGATTCATATGCAATATAGTTTACAAATGAATCCAGCCTCCAGGAATCATACAGGATTCATATGCAATATAGTTTACAAATGAATCCTGCCTTCAGGAATCATACAGGATTCATATGCAATATAGTTTACAAACGAATCCAGCCTTCAGGAATCATACAGGATTCATATGCAATATAGTTTACAAATGAATCCAGCCTTCAGGAACCATACAGGATTCATATGCAATATAGTTTACAAATGAATCCAGCCTTCAGGATTCATACAGGATTCATATAGAAGGTAGTTTGCAAATAAATCCTGTAGCCAGGATCCAAGCAGGATTCATATATAATATAGTTTACAAATGAATCCAGCCTTCAGGATTCGTACAGGATTTAAACGGAAATTGATGTGCATGTTTTTGTTTTAACAGTTATCATTGGCGTGTCGCATATATTACGCCAAATGCGCACAGGCGTACCAAATGAAATCGAAAATTTAATAAAAATGTGTAATTATTTGAGAAGCTACCTTGTGCATAAATCCCGCATGATTCCTGAAGGCTGAATTCATTTTGTAAATTATTCAAATGGCGAGTCTTGCATGACACAATCTATTTTTAATTTAATTTAAAGATAGCCATATTGTTTTTCAGTTTTTGTCCTAATCAGTTGTTGCGTTTAAGCAGAACTCTAGTATTTTAAATCTGTTTGATAATGAAGCTTGAACATTTGTTTTGTAACTAAAACAAGACACTGGTATTCAGTTATTGTCTAATTTATTTACACTTTATATCACATGAACATAAACACGAGAGCATGTATTAGCCATTTTGACATGCATACATACAGTACAGATCTTGCACCACATCACACGCCGGTGCGCCGCGGCGCAGAACTTCGGTGCATCTACCGGTGCATCGGCGCATCTAATTCGGTGCATAGACCGGTGCATCGACCGGCGCATCTGGAGAAACGATCGATGCACCGATCGGTGCAACGGTGAAATCTGTCGGTGCATCGAAGGTTGCTCCGACCGGCGCATTTTGCTATTCGTTGCATCGATCGGTGACATTGTTTATTACTTACCGATCATTAATAATTACATTTTGAAATCACGACGACGGGAAAATCACTACTGCACAAATAAAATATATAATTTAATAGAGATTCGATATTTGAGAGATTTTTAGAAATACATTTCTAATAATTATATTCCAAAGTCACTAGTAAACTGTACGTACATCGTACGTATCTGGATTTCGTTCATAATTGATTAATCTGTTAATGCGTTCCTCTAAGTAAATGAAACAATCATCACATCGTGTTTATAAGTGTAATTCAAGGGCGTATAATCTAACATGTCTAATGCTACTCATTTCATGGTATTACTTTCCGATCATTTGATAAAATAGAATACAATCAACATGTGGAAATCACGGATGACGGGAAAAACAATATTGTATAAATAGAATATATTTTAATAAGAGATTCGTAATGTAAGAGATTCGATATTTAACAGATATTTAGAATGAATTGCGACATTATATTCCAAATTCATGAATAAACTGTACGTATCTGGATTTCGTTCATAATTGTTTAATGGTTCCTCATAGATAGTAATAGAGTCATCACATCGTGTTCATTAGTGTTAATTCGAGGTTGGATAATGTTTTTATAATATGATGTTATAATTTTACATTTTATTTGTGTGTCTGAGTGAGGCTAAATTGAAAGTAAAACCTGTATAATCAGACGGGCAAATCACGATGAGGACAAATAATTATTTAAATTAGTAAGATAAGTCTGTACATGTAGATTGTTCGTTGAAGTTGGACCGTCGGTGACTTTTATTCCTAGATTTCGTATCCCTCTCAAACAAATAAGTCAAAGCCAAATATAGTTGAACTGTTTTCGGGATTATTATTCATTTGTTGTAATACAGATTGACTTATAGACTGATATTGTAATGGGTTGTGCTTGGGATTCACAGAATTATTCTATGATAGTCTCAGGATATATTGAAATGCGGATGTTTACATTAAAGATCTTGCTTTCAAACAAAAATATTGAAGTACTAAGATCGGATATTAGCGTACCCCAGTGGAAAAGAATCAAAAGATATTCCAATTTAACGCACTGCACAATAATTTGTCATTTTGGAAATTCGTCAATATGACCTTACCATTTTGATCTTAATAATTTAAAATTTAAACAAGCGCTACCCCCCCCCCCCCCCCCAGAACTAGCCTTCCCGGTAAAGCCAATACGACAGATATCTAAGGAAAGTTTCATTTTTATTCTTGATTTCTCTGACTCGGAATAGTTGAAATGATAAACATAAATTGCAATTATTATTACTTTGCTCTTTCATTTTGCTCAGTCATGATCAACGCCTTCCTTAAATTTTCTGTCAGATCATCGATCCCAGACTTCAGCAAATATTCCAATCATATTTTGCGTTTTATCGTCTTTCCCAAAAGCTATACGAATATGGTACTACAACTACTTAATGACAGTGGTTTATCGTTATTTTTGCAAATATGGATGTTTACACTGCTTGAATCTTATTCTAGGAAGTTTTATAGAGACGGGACTTCCTTTTCACAATGCAATTATATCTGTTTTGTAGGTTCCCGTGGGTAAGATACACACAAGAACAATACGGCCCATCCAAAAGGGACAGATCCGTCAGTGGCGTTCTTCAAATTATAGCCCGTGGAGATATAGTTTATGAATCTTGCCTCAAGTGACGTGTTAAATCCCATATTGGGTTTGAGAAAGGGCCCGTATACACAGCCCGATACACA